AATGAAATCAAGTCCAGAAATTGGGTTTGAAAAATGATTAATTTTGACCTTTTGCACTTGTTTTATTTTTGTTCATGTATAAACACTAGGGAAACGCTGTATCGCAGGTGCGATGGACACACACATAGTCAACCATATATTACTTTTTGCATAATGTATAAATATAATTAGATAAGCAAACCCTGTACTAGAAAATAAGGAAAAAAGTGATGAAAAAATATAAAGGAAAATAAATAGAAATAATACATAGGAAACTACAGATAAATAGATTATATAAAAAAGAAAAGCTAAAGAAAAGACAAAAAAGAAGTGTGTATATCATTAGCGTAATAATGACCACCAATATGTATTTTCTCCCATAGGTACTGATGGAGTATACCAATATATACGACAGACCCCTATTACTATAAGCAAGCTAAGAAAAACTCGTGTATAACCGTGTAAAGCTTACTAAAGACTCTGATTATGTTAGAGATCCATTGGCAATGCAAAAAAAAACCATGTATTACCCAAACTCACAAGAGAAATAAATGTGGGCCATATCGAGTTCTTAGGTTTTCGCGAAATAGGAAATGAAACTGTTTTTCCGGATTTAAATCGCGTCTATTTGTTTTTTCAAACAAACTAACGTTTTGGGGCCCTTCACAGGTCCCATGGTCACGGTTGACTGAGGTGGTACAGTCATCAACCAGTTACGTCTAATATTAATGCAAACCATCCTATTTTATATTTTATATTATTTATATTAATTAAATATCTTATTTTTAATTTTACAGAGAACATTCCAATTTACGCTACATCTGTTTTACAAATTAGTTTATTTTAACAATATGAATTTTTATTAAGTAAAATTTATTATTAATTAGTAATGGAAATTAGAATAAATTAAATGTAGGCCATACAAATATTGCGTGGCAGACCAGAACGGGTAACCGTTCGGCCACGGCGTCAGTTAAATGTATGACTAGTGTAAATAGAATTATCCAAACTGAGGGAAATTTCATTTGAAACTTTGACTAAACCAATTATTATAATTTAGTACAACAATGACTTTAGCGTCGTCATGTTTCGTCAAAATTTACTCTTGAAGAGGTTAAATTATATGCCAAGGACCGTGTCTCGCTAGACAGAACTTATATTGAAGTGGCAATCTTCTAAGAGGTTTAAATGTATATTATACATATTGTACACAAAGTGCTCATGTGTTAATGATGATAAGCCGTTTTAAAGTCTGTTCCAATCTAATTTACGCAAAAAGTATACAAACAGATAACTGACTGTTTTAGTGATGGTCCATTGTAGTGCCAACTACAAATTGGTTAATTAATTGAATAAATCGATTTGTTTAATTGAATCAGTATGAATAAATATTCATTTTGCTATTTCGGTGATGATTATTTCCAAAATAGTGATTAAATACTGAGTAACTATATTTCATACATAAAATCAGAAAATTATAATCTGCATACGTTGTAATCTACTCTACATATTGGCCGTCATCAAGAAGTGGTAAATCGTGGAGTGTTTAAAAAAAGGTTTCATGGATATGAGTCAAATTTACTGTGATAGGCCGGTTAACGGATAAACAAAATAGCGGACTTAGCGTCGGCTGAAGCTACCGTTTTAAGGTAAAAAAGTTGGTACAACTAAAAATTACATACAATAGTTAGGTTTGTTTTAAAAACTCATAGATCAAACTGTAACATTCAACAAAACAGTTGCGAAAATTTAATTTATTAAATTGCCTAATCGCGATTGATAGTAATTCAAAATAAGAAGTAGCCAATTGACTAATTTGCGACAAATCTTGATAAGTACTTGATTTGGCGAGAGATGTAACGTTTGAAGTTGAAATATTGCTATAGAAGTTTGGTTGTACAAGCGTGTTAGCTTGCGAATAAATGTGGAGTAGGTACTTATACTACCAGTGGTTTTTCTTGCATAACCTATAGAAGCTTTAAGATTCCCGAAATCGTAATTTTAAATCCTCCTTCAAATCCTTACACTTAATACCCGTTTCAATTGCAATTGAAATCTACGAATTACTAAACGATTACAAAAACTTTAATTGAATGAACCGAATAATTTTTTTTTGGACGCACTATGCTTAATAGTCTGTGGTCATAATTTTTCGACAGAAAAATAACCTCACTTTTGGACTACTGTTTTTCAAATACGCTTTTACGATGTTATTCAAATGAATATTGTTGAAAAAGTGATGAAATCAAGTCGATATCTTCAAAATATACGTGAAAGTGTTATATAATCTATTAGTTGAGTGATTGTTTTAGAATTTTAAGCAAACCGGTTTGTTTACTTTTTGGGTAAAATGAATTGGAACAGACTTTAGTACTTTATAAATTTTTGTTTAATCTTACTATGGATCAAATAATATAGGCATGTAATATAACTATTAACAGTCATCTTGTAAACTTCAAAGTTTTGTCAAAGACGTTATCGATCACAGAAAAATTGAGAATCATTTCGATTATCTGAATTCAGTTGTCAAGTTCCACCTACCACCTACATAAACTCCGTGCAATGGTGGTTACAATGATAGGAACGAGGGCTCGGGGCAGGTGGCAGGCACTTAGAGGAAAAAGCTAACGGCTGTCACCTTTTATTGGATTTCCGCTGCAAATATTGGGAGTCAGCGGCGGCGAGGTACAGACGCTTTGTTTGCTTTTAGTTGGGTTCAAGATGGACAAATTGCTTGACTCTTATACGATACTTGATTCACTTTTCTTGACTAGCTGTCTGTTGATAGGTGTTTTGTCATTTACACATTTAAAATTTTTGGCTGTTTTAAAAAATGGGTGGATTTAGTCATTGTAACTAAGAAATACAAAATCGAGTCCAAAACAAATTGTTTCGGAATACGCGAATGTTATTTTATCTTAGTACCATTACTAAAACTGGTTCGTAATGTTTTTCCCTTTTTTAAGTCCGATCCCAAATCCATAACCCATCCCTGATATTCCCGCTTATCTCCGGAAGGTACGCTACATTTAAATGTTTTATCAATTCGCGATTTCATTTTTTAACGAATTAACCCTGTGGTGTTTTTAAATCATTTTCTGATGACAATTCAAAGCGTGTTTTTGCAAATATGAAAACAAAATAAATTGCTACATTGAAAACGTCTGCACACTAAAGTGGTACGCTTTAGACGTAACACTTAACCTTTGAATCTCACTTCTGATCTTGAATATAAAGCTGAAATATACAGAAAACGTGTCGCGTATAAATCGTTTGTGTAATAAGCCCTTACGAAGCATAGCTTACCCTTATAGTTGCAAGTATAAGCACATGTATAGCTGTAATGCGATCGTAATGGCTCGGATAAAGGCCCGATGGTCTCCGGCAGGATAAAGTGGTCCATAAATAGCATGTGCGACTTATAGACTTCTTTCGCGAGAAAAGTTGGGCAACTGTGCCTGTAATGAAGAGGGTAGGCAGCAAATTAATAGTTTATAGCTCATCCAGCGCACTTAATGAGTTAACTAGAGTAGAAGTTATTTGTTATGTCTACATGTCTCAATGGTTACCTAACCGGAGTCTGTAAAAAAGTTAATATGTAGTATTTGCAAAACACTTTTAGTACTTGGCAGTCTGCCTTACAAGTATAATAATAAGTAGGTAACGACGAAAATTTTATAGCAAAAGTACATAATTCGTCAACCGGAAGCAATAGGATCAAAAGGCATTACAAGACAATGCGATCTGGTAACCTTTTCACCCCGTATCACATTCCTCATCCCGAAATGCGATTAAAAGCCCGATACCTCGTTATTGTAAAGGTTGCCAAAGAAATATTTGACTGTCGTGTTACAGTAAAGTATAAGTTTACATCCATTCATACGTACCTTCATGGCAGTGTCCCACTAAGGTAGGTAGAGTCTATGGACTTCCGTCTGCTACGCTCCTGATGTATGTGCTCTTGATGCTTTTGCTTGCTCCATTTGCAGCAGTTTTTGTAAATAGACGCCTATTTATTAATAGTACCTTTGACCTGGCCGTTTTAAGGGCATTCTTCAAACACTTCGGTTGACGTATCTCGAGATTGCCCTTTTACCATGTTTGCTCTGTAAATTTGTATGGTTATTCTTTTCATTCATCCTTTTTGTATGACCGCACTGTCCAAGCATTCCTCATTCATGAAATTCTTTTTCATCCAGTCACTTTATCATCTTTCAACTCATAACGCTCCTTAATTACACTGTTCATCATTCTGCCTCGCACCATTTACACTACACATTCTGCGCAATGATCTTTTTCTACAGCATTTCTTATGAATTTCACGCAAAAAATATTTTTCAATTGAATTTTTACTGTTTAACAACTCGTGTCCGTCCAATAAGACGAACATTGCTCATTGATCTCTTCAATCTCCATTTTGTCTCATTTACATCTTCGTTAGTAATATAAGCTAATAATAATGTTCAGTATTAACGGCTGTTTATATTGTAATGATCGTTTATTATTGCAGTGTAACACAATTCACAACTTTACACAGAGCCAGAGGCTGGCGCGTAAATAGCTCGGCTCTTAAAGGGCTTCCCTGCTCTTGTTTACTTACAACTGCGAGTATAGAGAATAGAATATATACATTGGTCCTTCGAACCGGACATTTGGTTTATGAATTTGCTCACTATATACCGAGGGGGATAATAGAATTCCTTATGATCTACGTTCAGTACATCTGTTACCTATTGGTACAATAATTGTGCTGATCTGTAATGTCCCCGGACTGCCGGCGCAGGGCAAACTTTTGCGTACGTACATTGCTTGTGGTTTTTTATTTCAGTACGTTTGAATTGTATTGTTAGCGAAAACTTAGTTTAGGTCAAAAACCAGTTCTGTATTGCCTAAATTGGATTTTCTTGTCACTTCTTTATAAGCTATTCTTTGCCTCGGAGAACTCGGAATGGGGTTAGGTTATGGCGCGCAGGACAGGGGCGCAGCGCGAGGCGCGTCGGGGCGGCGGGACGCGGCAGTCCGCCCGCGTCGCCGGGCCCTTGCATACGTTTCATCTCTACATTTTCTCAAAGCTCACTGTACATAGTGGGAATAACTTATAGTGATTTTACGAGCAAGGGCAGGACTGATAGTGTATTTTTGTCTTATCCCTTGATTGATCTTGACGTGTTCAATTAAGTTGCGCTGAGATCTGACAGGATTCAGTGAGTGCCGAACGAATTGATTGATTGATACAGTTTAGTTTTGCCGGTTGGCGTATTGCTGGTGAGTTTTTTAGTGTTTCATGTGCATAAACATCGTGTATTTGAGTAGATTCCACTTTGTCAAGCTTAGTTTACGCGGCCGGTCGGCGTCCGGTAGATGGCGTTGTGACGCCGCGTCCGTATTGCAGGTGTAATGCTCTTGTAACTTTTCTTGGCAAAAAACTAGTTTTATTATGTAACTTTCAGGCTGTCCTCAAACACGCTATGCTATTAAGTCGCATACTTTAGGTTCAGATTGTGGATAACTTGTGGTTCTTTTATTAAACTCGTGTTTAGGGCTTCACGCTGGCACAACTATCGATATTGTATGAAATTATAATGCTCTAATCATTCACGGTCATTAGTATGCAAGATTAATTGTATGCCCTTTCTCTTATTACAAAATTCCTTTAATAATCATGCCTTATTAAGAGAACGCAGTTAATTGCATTTGCCGATATTTCTTCTCATTACCCGATTCGCGCTGGCATGCGACCAAGCTATGCTGCAAAAGTTTGCCTAATTACCTGATCGATAGTAATTGTTAGCTATTTACTGTTTTGTCGCATACATAATATAGATGAGCTGCTACAATGTCGTGTTAAACCACGCTAGTTTAATTCGGTAATTTGTATTCAAATACAGAAATAATTACGTCGAAAATAATAAATCTCTTATGCAAATACCCTGTGTAGTGGTCCTTCGAAATAACAACGGGCCATATTTTGATGTTTCTTTTAATTAAGCAAAGGTGGTGAGTGTAAAAAGGTTGAGATCGAATTATAATTGCGTTAAATTACGAGTATTTGAAGGACAGTTAAATGAATGTGTAACAAGTAATTAGTCCAGAACCCACATAGGATTTTTAATTTAAGAAGAAATTAACATAGATCTTGGAAATGAAACTATTTTTTTTTCGGATTGGAATAACATGTTTGTTTTTTTTTTTCAAACAAACCAACGTTTCGGACCCATTACAGGTGTCATGGTTAAAAATATACGCAATTTAGATCCGAAAAAAAAATTGTTTCATTTCCTATGTGTGACAATCGCGAAAACCTAAAATAGTTTTCGGTTTATGCATACGTGATTTTAAGAGAAAAGCAAGATTTTTTTTTTTTTCATTTATTTACGTAGCACTACACTGTATTTTTCGGTATGCCTTTATGGTCGCGTAAATGTATTCGGGGTTGGTCTGGTATGTTTCTGGAATTCCAGGTCTATTTGTTCTAATCGATATTTTGTATTACCTGTTTCTTTCCCTTGAATAAAATTATTAAAAAAACCTGCCACAACGGACCTTTACCCGCGGACTGATATAATAGGATTTGATGTAACCGCTCCATCAGTCTTTCCAATCTTTCTCGCACTCGTTTTCGCCCTGTAATATTTAAAAGCGTTTTCAAGCCATACGTTCTTCCTAGTCACGCGATTTGGAATTATTGGCTACTGTAGCACTTGCCGTCAAGTCTTTCCTATTTGAAGTTACATTTAATTGCGATAGGTTGACTTACAGTATACAGCATACTGATTAAATTACAATTTTGGAAAATAAAATACGTTTTCCGTATCGTTCATCATCACCATCAACCCATTTATAAGTCCCACTGCTAGCCACAGGTCTCCTCTCAAGCGAGTGTTTAGGCCATCACACGTTTTCCGAAGGTTGTAATCTTTCGACGTGCAGGTCATCACGCTGTTTTCCTTCACCAAAACGTTCGGTAAATTTCAAATTAAATTTCGCACGATCCTATTGAAACCCACGGCCTTTGCTTGAGAGGCGGTGGGTTAATCCACAAGGCTACCACATTTTTTTAATCTTTGTGTCTTTAGTCGGATATATTAGTTTTTCAAACAAACCAGTAGGACTTGTAAAGACGCCGAGAACTTTGTTTTGTTTAAAAATAATATGCACGATTTTAGATCACGAAAAAATGCTTTTATTTCTATTGTGCAATGTAATAGTCGCGAAAATCGAACATTTCGATAAATAGTACATTGTGTATTAAGGGCGCTAAATAAGAAATTACTGACGAGAGTTTGTTAGAAGCCCGAAGCCGAAGGCTGAGCCTGGATAAATATCACAAACACAACGTTTAAGGATTTTGCAAATATCGGGTTTTTTGTGTTTTTTTTATACAGATTGCCAGCTGTTTTGCCATAGTTAATACAACTCGAACTAGAATGTTATAAAAGGCACAGACGCATGTAGCCACAATCTATTAGATATAAAATAAATATTTTCCAAATTCTAAAAATACTGCGGAATTTGAATTCACGAAATAAATTTATTCGAGCATCATCCATATTGACGTAAAAAGTCCATAGTAAATATTGAATATGCGATAATGTACTGAAAAAGCCTGTGAGCATTATTTAGGACATTACGGTCGACTTTGCCTGCATGTCATGACACTCTTTACGAGCAAGTGTGATTAAAAATTTTGTAAATGAAAAATATGCAACCTCTTGGTTTCTTACTCATTCTTTTCGGGAGAATTAGCCTTACGAATTTAGTGATGTGACGATTTCAAGTGCAATTGTTTGTGGTAAATTTAATATTATTATCGTGGTGCTAAGAAATTGAACTCCAAATTAAAAAATAAATTAAATAAACGTAAGTAAATGAAAACAAATAAATATAGCCAACATCAAGAACGTTTCGAACATCTTGGACGTCGTGTTCTCTCAATTAATGAGTCACAGAAACATTGCTGCGTTATTCTCAATTAAAATCAGTTGAAATTGGCTTCATTCCGAAATAAGTGTAACAATGAAAACCATTCATTAACCACTAATGATGAAACTTAAATAATACGTTGAGCGTTTAGCTTGGACCCTTCAAATCAGTAACCTGATCCGGTAATCCCTCGATCAATCCCTGAAAGAGCAGAGCTACCTATGGCATGGGTACAGATTAAATACAACAACTAGAGCGTAATAAAACGTTGACAAAAGCAATACACATGACTTTTTCCTTCGCAACAATGTTACACGTTTACATTTTTAAATTTTTTTGAGGCACTTGACGAAATCGAAACTACAATAATTCTAGCAGAATTTTCTGTAAGGCTCCTAGGATTTACGTAGGATGCTGATAAGCAATAACGTGCCAACCGACATGATCATAGTTTTGCCAAAATGGCGCCTAAAGATTTTTTCGTTTGTTTTGATACTTAGCTTGTAAAATTGCAATTGTTGTTAGGCAATATTTTATGGGGAACTGTATAAGTTTTTTACAATAAGATTATATTAGGAGCATATATTAAAATGATCATTACCTAAGTTTAAAACTTACAATAAACATATTTTAATTGGAAAGTCATACTACAAAATTGAAGACCACGTGTTAGATAAAGATCTATGGAAAGACGATATGGGTATAGAGTCCACACAAATTTGATTCAAAGTGTTATCCCATAGCATTTGAGTTTATTTGAAAAGCGCAAACCCTAGAGTTTCTTGCTCGTTCTTTCAGGAAAGTCAGTACAGCGTACGAGCAGTCGCTTAAAAAATGACGTTTTCAAGTGTAAATTAATTTTACCTATGGAATAAATGATTCGTTGACTTTGAAAACAGCGAAACTGTGTTTACAAGTTAATAGAACAAACTATAAAAAATAACGAAAAGAACCTTTACTTTTCGCAAAACTATGATCATATAAAAACGTTATTGTTTATCAGCATCCAATATAGGATTAATTGCACTATTGAAAGGAAAAGCAGTTGATCCAGATCGATTAAAGGTAGATCTGGAAGATCAGAAGGCTCTGGCAGGTTAGATTGCCCCTATATTCGGCATTGTTGTGATAAGCATGCTCGCTATAGTGCCGGTTATGGAGGCAATCGATTTAGACATCAATAAACTATGTACGTGTAATTTTAATTATAATTTTGGCTTTTATTTATTTTATTCTGTTCTGTTCTGTTCTGTTTTATTTTATTTTATTTTAATTTATTTAGTTTTTGTAACCTTTTATTGTTTTTTAAATTCTGATTATATTATTTTAGTTCTTAACTGTAGGTATTAATTACTAATTCAATTTCAATGTAAACAAATTACATTTGATATGGGTCATTGTCGCCCGAAATAAATGATTTTTATTTTTCATTTTATTTTTTGTTTTTATTTTTTATTTTTTATTTTTTATTTTTTATTTTTATTTTTTATTTATTTAAAGGCCTCTGGTCCAGTCGTTAAAGTCAATGGACGTAATCGTAAAAAAAACACTAACTTACCGTCTATTAGTGGGAGTCCCTTGGCCGACCAGCCACGCGTAGGAAACCAGCATCAAAAAGGTCATAACAACTATTATAAATCCATGTACTACCTACGAGGTTAAGTGTCACAACCCTTAGGAAAGGCATAAATCAGAACTATGTATGCTACTTCGGTTTTGATTATAATTTACGCAAATTGCAAAGTTGACAATTTGTTTTACCTCTCCAACAAGAAATCGTAGTCGCAATTGTACAAGTGTATGTCGTAAACAGTACTGTAGTTAACTGTTGTGCCATTAACCCCGTTTTGCGTGTCATTCCACCCCGGCGCACCCCGCATGCATTTTGTTTACCCTTTTAGGGCTATGTGGGCTATGTACTTGGGTGAAAATTAAGCTTGCATCCATCCGGCCCGTTCCCCCCTGTTGGAACCCTCTCATTTCGTGAGTTGGAAAAGTGTTAGGCTAATGGTGATGAATTTTTTAATATTTTGCATTGGATAAAATTTCCGGCAGGCCTTTGGCTCAGTTTAAAGAAATATTCGTTTTATTTTATTTTTTTAAAGTGATGTCTTTCATAATTGCCTTAATTGTAGCGTCATAATTAATTCGTCATTGAATGATTAAATAAGCAAGTAGATGATCGACTTTTTGTGGGCTAATTAAGCCTTTAAGTTTTCGCATTACTTCAATTGATGATGTTATCCTCTGTAGTAGTCGCCAAACTTTAATGTCATGTTAAAAATGTACACTACTTTCATCTAAATTTCTGCACTGACGGAAGTTTCCGCTTAAACTTCTAC